CTGCCCTGCGCCAGGGGCGAGCCTTGAGGAGATGCGCGGGTCTCTCGGAGGAGCGCTGCGGAATGGGCTGCCTGAGTTGACGTTGCAAGAGTGCCCTGGCAGTGCTCTCGACTTTTACTCGCTTCTATAAAGATACTGCCCTTCCTGGGAAAACACATACTTGATATAAGATGACATTGCTGAGAAAAGACATCTTTCTTAACTGATAATTTAAAGTAGTGACCGTTTCCCCGACAAGCATAAAATTTCAAGCAACAGGAGGCTGTGGAGAGGTTCTCCCAGCAGCCCGTGCAGTGTATTCCAGCGGTACACTTCTTCACAGCATCACGATGCTTTTTAATAATGCAATTGCAAATAGTGAGCCAACAGCTACTACTTTTACAAGTTCATCTTAAGAGAAAGTCCTTGCATCATATTGCACTTGCTTTGCTGAAAGCTACCCTAATGTGGCAATGAAGTGTCTACTGCAGAACCCTCAAGAGATTTAGAGAATACTATGGCCATTCTCCCCTCATTACACCTTTTTAATAGTCTCATAGCTCCATGGTACAATTGAATTCAAGCTTTCTTTTTTCTTTCACTTTCCCTCATGCTGTGTTCTCCTTTCCAGTAGTTTTCCAGTTTTTCACACTGGAAAACAATTAGCAATGTTACCTTATTACATGTCTTTTTCTTTCTTTCTGATTCACTGTTTTTTAAAAAGAAGTCACAAAATAATCCTGTTCAGCCTCTCTGGAGCAAGCGGTTTTGGGCTTTTGTCTCCTTTATGCTTGAAACACAGTTAAACCAAATGCTTTTCCCTCTTGGTGACAGCACTGCAAGCTCCGGGTACACTGTGCTGCTGTGCTCAAGCTGTAGGAGCAGAGTGATGTTGCCCAGCTGCAGCTGCAATTCAGTAGAAGGACAAAGCTTTGTGTTATGTTGTTTCACAAAAGTGACAATTACTGTGTTTTGTTATCTGCCTTTTCATTGAGATGGAAGAAACCATCTCCTCAGCTGGACTGGGGGCATTCATTTCGAACACGTCCAAACTACCAGAGGCACTTAGAAGCCTGGGCTGACAGGAGGGGCTTCCTAGTGTGCTCTGGCAGTCCAAAGGCTGAGCCCATGCCTGCAAGCAGGGAAGTTCAAATGCTATGACCAGGGTGGCAGGGGACCCTCACACTCTGTGCTGTGACACTTCTGTGAGGAAAGCTGTGATCCCAAGCTTTTCAGCCATATGCTCACCTGCTTTCTTTGTTCACTGTAGCTATGCCAGATGAATTAAGTGCCAGACAATGCAGGACAGATTAAAAAAGCACCATGCCAGGCTGCCAAGGATATGGTAAGCAGTAGGTGTTTTGTGAACCTCGTTCAGGTTGTGCAGTTGCTACAGACCTAGGCTCTGGGCCTCCATCAGAACAGTAGCAGAGCATTGTGCCTGGTCCTGCAAGATGCTGAAGCTGTCTGCCAGAACACACACCATTGCCTGATAGGCTTATAAATATGTCTGGCATGTGGTGGGTCCGAGACCACTGTCTATACATCTTTCCCCTCAAACAACATGCCTTGACACTCCCTTTTTGATCTACTCTTGTTTGCATTAAAGGGAATTTTTCCTTGCATTTGACAGCATCCATCACTTGTTTGTTAGTCATTTCTGTGATACAAGATATTGTACGCTGTAATAATCCTTTTAGCTCCTAGTTCTGATAGGGGGTTCCATGGTGATTTACAGAAAAATGCCCTGTCATAGTTGGGCCAAGCACACTTAACTTCAGCACATCCCTAAGAACAATACAAGCCTCTCTTTCTGGTAAGCCTCTAAACAGAACCCTTCTTACAGCTGAGCAGCAGCAGCAATGGTCTCCTGTAGTTTGGTATGATGATTTAGAGGTCCAGCTGGTCTCTCTACAGCATCATATATCCCGTGACACTGGAGCTGGATCTGTGATACATACAGGGGAAGGGGGCACCTCTTAGCCCAAAAGGCTATTACTTAACCCTAAAACAGCTAGGAGGGTTGAAAAAAAAGTCAATTAAGTTACTTCTGTCCTAAAAGCTCGGTGTGTGTCAAGCCAGCAGGGCTTAACTCCTGGTCACATGGCACTTCCCCATAAGGTGCTGTTACCCAGCTGGTAACTAAGCCCCACACAGCCGCTTGCTCACTCCCCCCGGGTGGGATGGGGGAGAGAATCAAGCAAAGCAAGGAATTCATTCACTGCTTTCCATCGGCAGGCAGATGTTCAGCCATCTCCAGGAAAGCAGGGCTCCATTGCATGTAACGATTACTTGGGAAGACAAACACCATCACTCTGAATGTTCCTCCCTTCCTTCTTCCCCCAGCTTTATATGCTGAGCATGATGTCATATGGTATGGAATATCCCTTTGGTCAGTTGGGGTCAGCTGTTCCGGCTGTGTCCCCTCCCAACTTCTTGTGCACCCCCAGCCTCCTTGCTGGTAGGGTGGGGTGAGGAACAGAGAAGGCCTTGACTCTCTGTCAGCACTGCTCAGCAATAATGAAAACATCCCTGTGTTATCAACACTGTTTCCAGCACAAATCCAAACCATAGCCCCATACTAGCTACTGTGAAGAAAATTAACTCTATCCCAGCCGAAACCAGCACAGGTGCTTTTCCTGCAGTAACAGCATCTTGCCTCCAGACCCAGGCCCTGAGTGGCCTCCTGCATACTGCCTGACTACAGTGCGGTTCTGAGGGTTAGGAAGGAGGGTAGTGTTCCTCATTGGTTTTGCAGCCTGTCTGTTCTTCTCATGGGTGCTCAACTTCCCCTCCACACCCTCCCCCCCTGCCACACTCCATTCCCTATTGCAATTCAGGCCAAGTTTTGATGACTAAATGAGCTTACTTACAAGGTTTGAAAATCACTAGTAAGTTCAGAAGCACCACTACATTGAAGAGCGAGAGAAAGAAGGGGGAGGGGGGAGAAAGAGAGAGGGAGAGGAAGGGAGAGAGGGAGAGGGAGGAAAGAAAGAGAAAAGAAAGAAAGGAAAGAGAGAAAGAGAAAGAAAGGAAGAAAGAAAGAGAAGAAAAGAAAAAAGAAAAGAAAAGAAAAAAGAAAAGAAAAAAGAAAAGAAAAAGGAAACGAAAAAAGAAAAGAAAAGAAAAGAAAAGAAAAGAAAAGAAAAGAAAAGAAAAGAAAAGAAAAGAAAAGAAAAGAAAAGAAAAGAAAAGAAAAGAAAAGAAAAGACATACATTGCACTATAATAGGAATTCATTGTTATCAAACACTGGCAAGTGCTTCCTGAATTTTCTGACAGTGCAGTCCTGAGCTGTGGGATTTCAAGAAAGCATAAGGTGCCAATGACACCTCTTTGATGCTCTCCAGCCAATTGTTACTGAAGTATTGACTGGTCTGTTTATCTTCCAGCTGGCAGGATTGGCTGTCATTGCCTTTGGTCTATGGCTGCGGTTTGGTGGGGTTATGGCAGACTTTGCTTCAGACAAAAAGTCTCCAGAGTATTTCTTCATGGGTAAGTTAAAGTGCCTGTGATGACAGTAACCTTTAGCCTTGGTTTCATCCTGGGGCATGTGACACACGTTATGCATTGAATTATATGAAGGCCAACAATTCCTGGGCTGAACTATACCAAATTGGACATTCTGGTGCTGTGTCATGTGCATGATGGCTTTCATCCTTTCTCGGCATCAACTTCCTTAGGCCTAACTGAATTCTTCTCCCAGATTTGATCCAATCCTCACGTATCCTAAGTGAAATTGTCGGAATAGAAGTTGAGATGGTCAGAGACTCCTGGAACATGGGGCTCACCAATATATCCTTCCAGAGTTTTCTGTGCAGCTGCTAGCCAACAAAACAACAGTGTCACTTCTGAATGTTTCTAATACCAGTGCAGCAGTAAAACTTTTGCTCACCAGTTCTCCCTGTGTCTGCACACAGAGGCCCGCAGTGTGACTTGAAGTATCAGAGCAAATCCTTCCACAGCTGAAAAGTAAAACTATACAGTGTTCAGTCATCTCCAGAACTGTTTGTCCAACCTAGGCAGCAATCAACTAGTTTCCCAAGCCCACAGAATTGGTATTGGTCATATCTAATTTTAGGCATTTAAGATAATTTTTTTCTCCCTAGGATTTCCAGTTGGATTTTCTGGAAATGCCACCTGTGTTACATACCTATAGACATCCTTAAATAGTGGCTGTCTAGGACTGCCAGCAACTGCATTTCTCTATCCATTGGTAATTGTAACATGCCTTTACACCAGAAGAGTCAGTTTTTTTTCTGTTTTAATATATCACCCCTGGAGATGGACTCACTCAATAAAATCCAATTGGTACAAACATTTTTGCCATCTACAAATGCCAAGTGTGAATGAATACCCAGTCCTGCCTTGTCCATCAAGCCACTCTGACAGGGTGGCCAGGAATGGAAGTTGACCGAAGATGTCCTGTAGCAGTCAGTTACCCATCACAGGAATATTGCCTGGGCTGTGCAGTTACTTTAAATACCCCAATTCTCTTAGTGAAGACCTTGACTCTGATACACCACAGTCCTAACCTGAAACTTCTTTCATATTTGCAACCAGGCTAGAGGCACAGAACTGACTACAGTACTGCGGGAATAGATGGGTAAAATGTTATGTCCAGCAAAGTTTCTGTGGGAGTTTATGAGGCTGAATAAAACCATCCAGATGAAAATTTGATTGGGACCTGAGGGTTACTGTAAAATACCCTATAGCACTTCCACTGACACAGAGAGCCATGAAGTATGGTTTAATTTTTCTCTTACATCTGAGCTGCTATGTCAGCAGTGTATTAGATCACCAACTTCATTTCTAGATCCAGTTTATACCTGCTGAATTTCCTATGCTGTATCTTGGAACTCTTCCCTGCCTTATCCACTTATGTTTGACCCAGGAGATTCAACAAGACAGAATGATGTTCTGGCCTTCAAGATCAAGTACTGTTGGTTTGTTAGAAGCCAGAAAGTAATACATCCTGTTATGTGAATAAGCACAACAGTCATTTCACAGCTTTGCAGTGCAAACTGTACCACTGTGTAAACAAGATACTCTTTGGTGCATGTGTACTGAAATCTCTAAAAGATTTAATCTGCTTCAGTCCTGAATAGGAATTACAAAAGCTGATCAGAGTTGTTAATTTTGGAAGTCCTGGGGAATGTTCTTGTAAAAGTTTCATCATATACCGTGACATTCAACTGTTGTTCTGTCACATGTATTTATAGAGCTGTATGCTGTAATATGTAACTGCTAGCAGAGGAAGTGCTAAGGAACAGAACATAAGTATGTTGAGAGTTCTTTTAAACTTACTCTTTCGACTGAATTCTAGAGCAAAGTTTTGGCCCTTTTTTGTAATAGGCATTGTGCTCTGAATGGAGCATTCCTGTTAAAGAACAACAAAAAAAATTTCTGCTGCCCTCCCTCCTTACAAATCATGTTAGATGCTGTTGTGACTTCTGAGCACATGATGGGGCAGCCATCTAGAAGTCTGAGGCTGTTAACAATCCGTGACGAAGGCAGTGGTAGAAGAATGGTGATAAGTTCCACAATGGTGGTTTTTTTGCAGCAGACAAGGCTGCGCTTGACAGTCATGCTCAAGAGCTTTACCTCTCTAGGAGATTTCAGCTCTGAGTCCCCCTTGACAGTTGTGTATTGGGCCCTTCTCACAGAGACTCTAGGAGTGTTCTTTATTTGGCTTTGTGTGTTTGCTCTGTAACATGCATTCTGGGTGACAGCCAGAATTTTGCATAGGAATTCTTAATATGGAACACTGTGCAGCACACAAGGAGCAGCTGCCCAGAGGGCTGAAAGAGAAAGCAGATCATCAGTATGACTTGGAGATATAAACATACGGCCATACATATTTAAAAATCATTTCTTTAGCTCTGTTCCACTGACTGCTTTTGTGGCTGCCTTGTGATAAGCCAAGCCCCTGTGATCCTACCAGCTTTGCGTCAGTGCTTGAACAACAGTGCTGCTGCATTCAGAGTTCGCTTCATAGATTGAAGCACTGTTCAGAATCATCATCTTGTGGAAAACATCTCATTTTCTTGCTTCTAAAGAGCAGCACATTTTGCTTTTTTTGTACCTGGATTGAGGTGCCAGCTGAATCTAACCAGCTTCTCTCTTGTGCTTCCTTGTGATGTTTTTTTTTTCCTGGATCTGAAATGTTGTTTCAGTTTAAAATAATTGATAATTATATCCTTGCATTTTCCATTAGGCCAGAATGAGTCTCCTTAAATAGCCTTGTTCTTTACCAGCAGTCCAGCTGTCTTTTCTGCCCCCTGAAACAGTTCGGGCCATGACTTGGCAACCAGGCCTGTTCATCTTCTCCAGCCACTGAAATGTTTTTGTTGGTTTGAGAACAACTTACAGGCAGCAGTGCTGAGGTCAAGCACATACGTGTTCTTAGTTTTCTGTTGCTTGTGGTTTTGTGTTCAGTGATACATATTCCCCACTGCAGCTTGCAGTTTTTTAACCTGCAACATAAAAGGTTAGAATTGGAACTCTTTGACCCATGCAGGCTGCATCTACTTTACCAGATGTCTCTTACACTGGAGCAGCCTCCTAAAATTGGACGTCGTCCCTCTACAGCTCCCCAACTTTTGAAGTTCCCACTGCAGTGGCAGGCATGACAATATTTTTATGTTACTCCATCTCATAGTACGTTTTTTGTGTCTGTGCTTCAAGTGGTGAGGCAAAACTGTAGCTTTCCTGTTCTACTGCAGTTCAGCTCTGATAGATTTCATATATTCCTCTCTTAGCTGTACTTGAGAGGAAAAAAAAAAGAAAGAAGAAAAAAGATAATTTCAGCAAAGATCAATAGCTGGGCAGTTACCACTTTTATCTGAGTTGTCTGTGACATTGTACTGACCAAACGGAGAAAAGATCTGTAGAATAAAGGGAATTTCCTCAGATTGCTCGTCCTTCTTGAGACTCCTGTACCAAGACTCTGGCGTTTTTACTGGGCAGGAAAATCTGCAACAATCAGAAGGAAAAGAGATGCTAGTATGAACCCAAGATGTCAGCATTGCTGTCTCACAATTAATTGGTCCTTAATTAATTCTTTGTAGTAGTTCTGTTCTTAAATTTAAAAATACCTAAAGCACCGAAGTGAAGACAAAGTGCCTGCTGAGTGCAAGTTGAGCATTTGTGAAGTAAAAACTAACACAGGGACTTTTTAAGGGTCAGTTCAAGACACCTATTCTCCCCTCTTTGCTTTTGGTGGATGCAGAGGAAAGTCTGTTCTGGTTCCTTGGGCAACATGAAGGACAAACTCTTTGTATCTCTAATAAATGAAGTGCAGAGGGTCACATCACTGCCAGTAGCAATAAAAATGAAGTGTATGTACTCCACAAGCCCCATCAGGAATGGTAACAAAAACTGATGAATGTGAATGAATCAATCTGGATGACTCTTTCTCATAACTGGCAGCACTGAAGCATTGCTTCTCCTGCACAGCCAGGGCTCTCAAACTTTCTGCTATGTTACATTCTCTTTGCTCCAGTTCCATGATCCAATCTGTGGTCCAGGCATTCATCAGGGCCAAACCAGTTATGGATAGAAGTTTCACGGTGGCTGTGGCTTTTTCTTGGGGTCTGTGAGAGCATGAGTGATCATTCTGGCTTTGAAAGGTACAGTTAGATGGCGCATGCCTTAGGATATGAAGTCATGTCTGGAGTTGAAGGATATTAGTAGTTTTTCTCCATAGTAGTGGGTGCCCATACAAGCAGGAGTTGGCCAGCAGTTAAATCCATGTAAAATGCAATTCTCTGCTCCTGTGCCTCATTTTGTTATAGTTCTATTAATGTATTTTGGAGTCAAGCACTATACCCTTAGTCAACAGTATTTTCTCTCCAAAATCCATAGTCTCTCACACTCTATCAGCCTTCAAAATGAGAGCTATTGGCAAAGTAGCCTCTGTGTAGAGATGCAATACCACAAGAGGAGCATCAAATGGTTCTGCCATCATGTGTATTGGAGAGGCTTTTAGTCTGTACTTAAAACTTAAGCAATGAACTTGTCTTTCTTCCTATCATCTTGTGTGCAGGTCTCTTCTGCAGTTGAGGAAGAGTGGTTTAAAAAGGGCTGATAGTGGCCCTGAGTGGAAAACGAAAGCTGCTGCACTGGAAATCTGCTTAAAAAATATGACACCACTACTACCACCCCACAAAAAAAACTTTACTCAAAATGAAAGTTGTTCAAAAGTCCTCAGTCTCTGTGCTGGATCGTAACACCTAGCAATCATTTCCTAAGAGTCAGTATCCCGCCTGGCAGAGTAAAGGCAAGGCCACCACAAAGTTAGAATTCTGACAAAACAAGCTAATTAAGCCTAATGGAATAATCTGTCCATCTACCTCAGGTTGATTGTTTTATATTTGCAATATGCTGAGATTCAGGAAGCTTTTTTTTTTTTTTTTTTTTAATTAATCACTTAAGCATGATAATGCACTTTATGCTTTTTGCCTGTTAAACTGTCCTGCTGGGTAAACCTTTCT